TATCTTATCAGTGAGTCGAGAATATGTGATAGTTTATCGAGTGGCGAATAAAGCTTCGAAACATTAAGTAGATCTTCACCAATTTTCACCAAACGCCCATCCTTGATTGTCCATCTGGCGGAAGGGAAATCCATAGGAATGATGTGCAGATCGAACGGTCCTTTTTTCTTTGGTTTTCTATTATATCCTGCGTAAACATTCGGGTGATATAAATTATTCACGTAGGTAAATATAGAGTCAAGCTCTAACTGTGCGTTAATTGGAACGCCATAGTGCTTGGATAATGTACCCATGAAGTCATATGACAACTGCAAGTATTCAAGTTTCATGTAGGTATTTGTTTTCCTGCCATCTTTATTTTTGAATAAATCAAGAAAAGGTTGTTTGATATACATAAGGTTTCTCCTAAGGTTAAAAATTCCTAGTGTCATTTGACACTAGGAATAATATTTGTATCATTTATTTATTTTCGAAAGAATGACCTGATCAAATAGACTATCCATCAGAAATACGTTTAGGTTATATTCAAGAACAAAACCTAAGTCATCTTCTTTGAGCGTCCGTTGTATGTATTCTGCCAAGCAATCTATGTTTGTAACAATTTCGTATGGGGATGGATAGAAGATTATCTCTTTGAATACAAAATCCCTAGATACGAGTGGTACAGGAATGGAGTGGTCGCCTCTGGAATTACGCGTTTCTAAGATGTTGATGTAAGTTAGGCAGATCATTCCACGAATACGTGTGTCAGTGAAATTTTTTTCTCTCAACTGTAAATAGGTATCTAGCGCTACTTTATTTACATATGCCTTATACGCATTCATTGCATCTTCGAGATGGTTTAACTTTCTATTTCGATTGATTTCTTCCCCAGTAAAATATACGCGTGCTTTTGCACTTGTAATCTGAGTAAGTTCAGACCAATAGAATTTAAACAGACTGCCCGACATACGACAATGGTAATGTGTTTGAAAGATACGAATGGACAGGAATATAAATATAAAAACTGCACCAGACAATACCCCATAAAGGACTGATAAAAACATTTTGTTCCTCGGAAAATGATTATACGTTCATTAAAGTAATATGTATTTCATGTATTTTAGAATGTCATGAGCTTTAGATTACCAAAGACTTGATCATTCTTCGCAACGAACTCTACAATTTCTTGAATGATTTTGATTGGTGGCTCATCGCCATGCATATCTTCTATAGACCAACAAAATGCAGGTGTTTTGAAACCATCATCATTGCCCTCTACCAAATGTTTCAGTACAGGATGACATTCGCCATCAGTCCAATAATTGACAGGTTCATAGACCCCTTCACATTCTTCCCAGTCAATATCAAAAACCTTTCGGTAATTCTTCAAGTAGGGTAAATGGCGCATCTCGACGAAATAACGATCTGTCCCACCTTTACCATCTCGAAGATAGATAAAAGAAACTTCCGCATGATCAAGTAAGTTTTCATGATTATGATTTCTACATTCCCATGCCCACGGAAACCAAGTTTTAATCTCTCGCTTATAGTCCGTAAACCCTCTTAGACGAATAATCTTATCATCTCCTTTAAATGGAGGGATTTGAATATATGCCGTCACATCGTATTTCTTATTGTGATGTTTGACCTGTTGTGCTTTCCAGTGTTCCAATTTATCTTTATAAAAGACCTTTGGTGGTACAGTGATTTTGTCTGGACATTTACCATCATCTCCAGTAGGATAAGAACTTGTAAATTGATAAACGCCAACTTTCTCTTTGATGGAAATGCCTTTACAATCTCTAATGTGGTATGAAATGTCAAAGAAAACATTTCGATTGTTTCCACGCTTCAAACACCAATAAGCAAGCCAGAGTGTTCTTTTGTCTATTGTTGGAAAAAGCTGACCGATACCATAAACAACCGCAAAACGAACCGTGACGTCAAATACGTAGCATCTATCCAAAACCCATGTAAACGTACTAAGTTCGCAGAAACCTTTGAAATGCTTTTCCCAGTATTTGCGAATAAAGTATTTACGTGGCGGGATTCTCCATTTGGTTAATTGAGAATAGATGCCTTTATATCTATCTTTCCAGTCAATAGAATATAACCATCCATTGATTACTCGATAATGGTTACTCCCACTATAAAAACGATTTTTACAATATGCAGGAAATAGTTCATCTAACTTGATTTCATCGAGTAGACTTTCCCATTCGTACGACTTACATAGCTGAGTGAAATATCCATAAAGAGCAAGTGCAGAATTTCCTTCAAATGACAATTGAGGAATTGGCGTTAGATAGTTTTCAAAGAAACCATAATCGTTAAAAATTGGATCTACGGTTTTTACATCGAGTAGGTGTATCACGTAGGTATAATAGTTTAGATCTACAGGTTCTTTACCATTTGTCACATTGTAATTTTGATTTGCAAAATAGCAAATATAAAAAGGACTAAAACAGGAAGTATTGATATTGTTGGGTACAAAGAACTTCCATTTTGGGTTGAAGTAATCGCCTGTAAGTTTGAAGCGTTCACGTATTACTTTTTCTAGTGTGACAAACTCATTAAAGATTGAAAATTTCATGTTAAATCCTTTAAATTAAATTAAGCGGGTAGAATACAATTACACAGTTGTACGTCTTACCTTGACAAGTCTTGGGAAATCAATCTCGTCGATTTGACTGTTACTTTGTTTTGATATGGCTTGTGGATATAGTTTTGCAATTTGGCGATTACAAAAAAGCAATGTGCTATATGGATCACCATGATGTCCATTGGGTAACATAATTACATCATATCTATTTTGATGGGTACGATGTAATTCTTTTAAGACATCATTTTCAAAAATATATTGTTTAACATACGTTGATCGAATGTATTGTTTAGTTATCTTTGAAATTGCATGCGCTCGATGCTTCATGTACGTTGCCAACTGACCAGATACTTTACTTAACTCAATGTCTGTAAAGAATGTATCTTCCAGATTGTCTTTGTATGCATCATAGTACAATGTTCGACATTCAAGGCGATGAAATCTTTCTTCACCTATGTATTTATACGTGAGTGAAACACGCACCGAGGGATCAAAAGCGTTGTTAGATTTGATTAACAATTCGGTACTTGAATTTAACTCGTTTTCTATAACAGCCCGAATGGTTGGGGAAAGTGGACCGTCGCCAACCCTTACTGAACCGCCACCCAGAGAGGATGTTGAGAAATTGAATATACTGTCACGATTGCTATTGTACTTCAAAATAAAGTCAAGGACATCATCAACGGACTTAATGTGTATAACACCACGACCTAGATGATCAAGTCCACCTTTCATTGGGTGGGATGAATCTTTCAGGTATTGTTTAAGATTGTCTAAAAACATTAATGTGCATTCCTTTTTCAAAATGTAAATCATTTTATAATTCTAGGGCGTTAGCCCTAGAATTATAGACTTCAACTAGATCAGGCTATAGTTCTGATTGAAGTGACGGACAAATTCATTGTCTTTGAAAAGATACTTGAGTTTCTCTTCATTGATCTTTTGCCATTCGAGCAATTCTCTAAATTCATCCAGAGTCAGTTCTCGATCGCTATCATCGAGTTCATGTACCTTGGAAATATAACCTGCCCATACGCTCGGTGTTACATCAGCCTTAGCATTGACCATAGAAAATCCAATGGTTGTTTCGTCTACCTTGCAACATCCGCGATATGTAACGTCATGGAATCCCTCTTCCTGTAGAATTACAGCTAACTCATCATCATCCAATGAAAATGGATCAAGGTAACTATATAGTTCATTGTTGTCAAAGTTATCAATCTCAACAAGTACCTGTCGTTGATCACCAGATTTGAGTTTATAGACCATGAAACTTGAAGAACGTGTATTTCCATTGATCTGCATGTAGCCAATCAATGATTTTGCAAGAAGCCCTTTCTTTCTAATTTCTTCGATGCAGTCAGGCGAGTAAATCTCTGTACCATTGCGATTAAAACTATCGTCAATCTTTAACAATGCACCAGGCTTGTAATCGAGGTTGTAGAAGTCAACAACATCTTTTTGACATTGCATGATTTCATTGTGGTAAAATTCTCTTGGTGAGATATTAATATCAGTTGGACAATTATAGTAGAGATTGTTCTCGTCTGTCTCTGGATGATTTTCCTTCCAAAGAACAACTACCTTTTCCAAGAAGACTGCTTCATCGATATAATAGCCAGTGTTTGTTTGGAATGAGAAGTTAAAATACAGTCCATCGTCTACGCAAAATCTCTGACCATACTTCTTCGCCCAATGATCTAACCAAATATTTCTTGGGCAGATTTCATAGGCATCGTTGATTGGTAAGAAATACGTATCTCCTTCATAGTGCGGATTGTGTTCGAGGAAATAAACTAAGGTGCTAAGCTCGCAGAATTTCTGTAGATGATTCTTCCATAGGTTCTTGATGTAATAATGTCTACTAGGTAAACCCAAGTTTGCAAGTACATGCGGGTTCTTCTTATAGACATTCATCAGTGCAATACCAGACTTATAACGACTGTTATCCTCTACATTGTCAATCTCATTTCGGATTGACAAGAATAACTTTTCATAGCGCTCTGGTGGAATTGGATTGGTATGGCTGATATGAAAAACCCGCAACATGTACAGTAGGAAATTCAGCGCTGTCGTATAATCATGGTTTAGATCCACGGGTTGTGATTTTACAAGCGCATCTTCGAAAGTTTTTGGGTATTTATTTTCATCATCCTTGATAATGCAATTTGTCCATCTATGCATGAACATGTCAAAAGAGTCTAGTCTACTTTTACTTTCCCAAGCACTTTCTATTTCTTCTGCGAGTGCCTCTTTGGTATATACATAACGAATATCCAAAGGTGCATCGCTAAACAGATAGATGTCTTTATCTATACCTAGGTTTAGCGATGGAAAGATTTCTTTGAATTCATCTATCTTAGAAATGAACGGATGAGTATAACCATATGTACACGGTAGAAGTCTTTTGGTCATTTTATTTCTCCAATGATTTTAAAAAGTTTAATGTGGTTTGCTCGTCGTATATTGAGATGTTAAGTTTTTGCGCCTTGGCAAGTTTCGATCCTGCCATTTCACCTGCAATTAAAAGTGTTGTTTTACCTGAAACTGAACCAGTTACAGTTGCACCTTTTCTAACTAACAGTTCAGTCAATTCAGGACGGGTAATGTCAGTCAATGTTCCAGTAATACAAATGGTATAACCTTTTAATGGTAAATCTTCACCCATCTTGACTTCTTCCCAATGTACACCTGCATCAATCAAGCGATTGACAATGTCTAGATTTGTAGGTACTTGGAAAAAGGCAACAATTAAGAGTGCAGTAATCTCACCAATATCATTGATTTGAATAAGCTGATCTACTGTAGCATTTTTGATGTTATCAAGTGTTCCAAAGTGCTGTGCCAACAAGCGAGAGGTAGACGAACCTACACCACGAATACCTAGACCATAAAGAAACTTCGCTAATGTTGTCTTCTTACTTTCTTCTATTGACCAAAGAAGATTATTGACAGAAGTCTCACCTAACTTATCAATGGAAATTAAAAAATCTTTATGGTCTTTTAGATAGTAGATATCAGAGATATCTTTTAAAAGATTTAACATGGCAAAGAATTCGATCCATTTTTCTCCCAATCCATCAATGCCCATGACTTTTCGTGATGCAAAATGAATGATTGCTTCGATTGCCTGAGCAGGGCATGCCATCCCTCCTGCACAACGAGCAATTGCTTCTCCTGCAGGCTTGATGACTACCGAGTGACATATAGGACATTCGCTCGGTAATACGATTGGATTGTTCTGACCTGTTCTTAGCTCTGTCCAGACTTTAGTCACCTTTGGAATAACATCTCCACTACGACACACACTGACCTGATCTCCAATGCGTAAGTCCAGTCGTTGGATTTCTTCGATGTTGTGCAAAGTCACGTTAGAGATCGTAACACCACCGATGAACTTTGGCGATAGTCTTGCAACAGGCGTAACTGCACCTGTACGACCTACCTGCCAATCAACGCCTTCAACAACGGTGATCGCGGTCGCAGGAGGAAACTTGTATGCCACCGAGAATCGAGGTTCACGACTAACATACCCTAATTTCTCTTGATGACTTTGACTATTGACTTTAATAACAACGCCATCAATATCTACATCAAGCTTTTCTCGATTGAGTAAGATCTCGTCATACTTCTCAATGACTTCTTCAATCGTTTTGCAAAGAAAGTGTTTTTCTGAAATGTCAAAACCTAAAGACTTGAGATTCTCTAATTGTGTAAATGTATCACCTACTGCAAACTTAGGATCAATGCGTGTGATGTTGTATGCATAAAACCCTAGAGGTCGAATTGCAGTCTTATTTGGATCTACCTGTCTTAGACTTCCTGCCGCAGCATTTCGAGAGTTTGCAAATGGAGTCTCTCCTTTGGCAATCTTCTCTTGGTTCATTTTCATAAACCCTGCTTTGGGCATCAGCACTTCACCACGCACCTCTAACAATTCAGGAATACCTTGATCTGATATAAGTACCGATGGAACATTGTGAATGGTTTTGATGTTCTCTGTGATGTCTTCTCCTACATGTCCATCACCACGAGTGGTAGCACTAACCAGTAAACCATCTTTGTACAGAATGTTGACTGCCAGACCATCTAACTTTAACTGCACGTCATAGGCGAGATCTTTGTCTTTGATTTTTGCGCGTACAGTTTCATCGAACTGGATGAGTTCTTCGTTGTTAAATACATTGCCCAGAGATAACATCGGTGTATTGTGTGTAACAGAACCAAATTTGTTCATTGGTCTTTCACCCACTTTCTTCGTTGGTGTATTAGTCAGTGTAAGCTGAGGATACTTTGTTTCTAGATCAACCAACTGACGGTAGAGTGCATCGTATTCCTCATCGCTAATTTGTGGGTTGTCGAGCACGTGATAGTTATAATTTGCTCTAGATAAAGTTCGGATGAGGTTATTCATCTTTACCTGAATTTCATTTGATTTTTCAAGTTGCATTTAAAGCTCCTAGGGGTTTCGTATATAATGTCCAAGTACAAAATAAAATATAGATAGGGGATCTATCCCCTATCTATTTACAATGAAATCATTTTAAAGAAAATTTTTCATGTTGGTAACTATCAAAAACAATTTCTTCAGCTCGGTAAAAAACGTGTAAGTTCTCAACTAGCGGTAAAAGATTGATTGCTTTTCTTTCCAGCAATATCTTCCAAACGTCTACGGTGAAACTGGAACTAAACATCGGTTCATACTTTTTCAATTCATTGACTTTATAAAACACAGCCTGATCGATTTTGTACCCGATAATAATTGCCAATAAGAAATCCCAAAATGGATGTTCGGTAACAATATCTCTAATGTACGTATTTAAACTGGAGCGTATATAAAGTCTGTTTAAAATGACTGTTCCATTTTTACCAGTTGTAGATCCAATGAATACAGTAACCTCATCATGGAATAGCTTTGTTTCTTTCTCCAAATTTAATTGGAGTGAATCTTCCATCGTAGAAATAAGTTGCGCACTATATTTACGTTTCTCTTTCTCATCGTAATGATTATAGCTCCAGATACCTGCAGAGCCTTTGACGTGGTGAGTGTATACATTATCGATTAGAATCATTATCTCTGGATCAAATAGAATATCTGTGAATTTTAAACCGACAAGCAATGTGACGTTCGCGTTAAATGCGGTGACAGATGATATATCTGACAACGTGATTGTCATATGTAGATAATGACTCTCAAAGAACTTATCTATTCGAGCATAGCACCCTATCTTGGTTGAATGCGCCATTTGCACCCCACACCAACGATAGAAACTATTGATCAGTCCTAGTTTATCGCCGATTTCAAATGTAAAGTCATCGTCCAATTTCAATCTAAGTGTTATTTCATGGGCATCCCCAATAAAATCTAGCTTGAGGATGAAAAGATCGTTGACCGCATATTGGCGATCTTTAAGGAACGCTTTAAAAGCCTCTCCTTCTATGTTTCCTAGAAGATCCACATTCTCTTTCAAGTAAATATGTTTTAAGTCCTCTGCCCATTTAAAGAACTCTGATTGTGTCGGTGTTACTTTAGGTTCAAGTAACTCATATATTTTCTTAAATGTTGTCAGCTGTTGTGCTGGTAGAGCATGCATAAGGTTATCCCTATAAGGTTATTTTGTCCATATTTTATCTGTAATAATATGAACTATTTAGTTAAATTGGTATTTAAAATGACTTTACCTGCGCACGTATTACAAAAACTCAGTCTCGGTCTAGAATCGATTGATGGTATCCAAGTCTTCTTGGAAGAACCTGAAGACACACTTTCTCCTGTCCTAGAATCTGACATCCAATGTAAAGAAATGGATGATAAATTCGATACAATGGACAATGTTCAAAGTGAACTCAACAATACAATTGAAGCAGCAGAAGAAATCGGTGCAGAAGCTTTTACTGCATCTCATGCTCGTCTGTTAAATGCTTCTCTTGAAAATATTACTTCAAAGCTAGGTGTTACCCTTCCTGACGTTTCTATTCCTAGCGTAGAAGATTACGAAGAGAGTGCTACTTCGTCTTATGTTGCTTCTATGGAACAAGCAGATTCTTTGGCAAAGAAAGCAGGACAAGCCATCTTAAAACTCTTGATCGAATTAAAGAACCGCTTCATTCAATGGATCAAAGAGTTATTTACTAATGCCAGCAAAGAACGTGCACGTACAGATAAACTCATGGCTGCTGGTAAAAATACCAAAGAGCAGGCGAATAAAGTTATCCAAGTGCCAAAGTCTTTTACTGACAAGGCAAGTAACTTCCAGATGGTTTACGTTAAAAACCTCGATGATTCATTGAAAGTGATCCTTACTGACATATACACTAAGTTTGATCAAGTCATCAGTAAAGGTGGTGAATCAGAAGGCGAAGAACTTGCGAAGATTTTCTTCAGCCACGGCAAAGACATTGCGCAGCTTGGTAATATGTTTACTGCGGGCGGTATGGTTATCAAACAAGATGCGACAAACTGGGTGAACATTTCATTCGTACCAGATGCGGGTCAAATGGTTGAAGTATCTAATCCTTCAATCAATGATCTAAACTCAATGGCTGGTTACTTAAAAGGTATTGGTGATACACTGATTGCCTATAAGAACCGTGCATCTGTTCGTACAAACCTAATCGACAAACTTACCAATCAACTGAAGAAAGACTACAGTCAAGAGGTGGATAAAGAGTCTGACGAAAAGGCTAAGAAAGACAAACAGAAGAAAGCCAATGAGGAAGCTGCTCGCTTGGTGAAGAAAGCTTTCAATGTAGAGCGTGCCATTGCTCGTGCAGGGATGTCTGCATTGGTAAAGGGCAATACGATCTTAAAAGCAGGCTATAAGCCACAAAAATAAAAAGATGCTATTGGGGGATCACTCCCCCAATAGTTTTATGCCATCAATGAAAAAGATTGGCTTTAATCTCTTCGTAAACTTCGCGACGATCCATTCCAATAATACAATTAGCTCCAGAGATTCAATAGACAAGGCATCTTTATCATACCTCACCTTGCCAAGATGTTCAGGGGAAGTTTTAATTACCAATGTTGGTTTGTCAAATTTATTTTCTCGATAGAATCTAAACTCTGACTTTGGAACAACCGAGACCATTAATAATAAAGATAAAAATTCCCAGAAAGCATCCTTAAAGAACATTTTCTGATAAAACTTATTGTAATGGGATTCCATATAGAGTGCGATTGACGAAGAATCTTTATTTCTCAAAACCTTGGTATGCGTTACTACATCTAACAAATCAAAAGTTCCTTTGAGTGGTACTTTAGTTGAATTTTCATAGGCTGCAATAAAGTTCTTGCTAAACTCATGGCGTAACCGTGCTCTATTCAAGGGGTCAATTGAGCTAGTGAGCATCATCATCTGATCTTTGTTAAGAAAGTCTTTGGTAATCTCCTCGATTAAAACTAGATTGACTGGCGAGATAATAATGTCTAAGATCTTAGCAGCCATCAATAAAGCAAGTGTAAGATGATAGATGTTCTTTTCTTTTAAAGTGATTATCCCAGAAACTGCAAGATATTTATCTTTTCTAATTTCGGAAGCATATAGTCTTACGTCCACATCTGGGAAACGCAGACTCATCATCTTAGAGAAGTAACGACATAATCCATCGTAGATACGTAACTTCAATTTAACATCCGAAACTGTAGAGAATTGTGAGATCTCCAAGAAGGATGCAAAGCTATAATAACTTCCTCGACAAGTGGTAGACAATCTACTGGTAACCAATCCCTTATTAGTTGTCATAATTAAGTTAAATTGTTTATCATCTAGATTCTCTAAAGTATCACGAAGTTGACATAGATCGGGGTTTACTAAATCTTCACATGCAACATAAACATCTTTATCGGAGAAACTCTCCAATTCAGAGTGAATTGAATAGTACAGTGTGTGAAATTTGCGAACAGTTTCTGGTGAAAGTTTGTCTATTTTTAAAGTCATGTGGTTTATCTCTTCGTAAGGTGTATGTGTTTATGATGTTATTTGTGCTTGTATATACAAGCACAAACCCACTGTAGGCTGGACACTTTTGTCTACCAAACCATTACCAGTAGCTATGATTTTTTACTCGGTCGAATCTTTGATCCTCCACTCGAAATCTAACTCATCTGGGTAGAAAGGTTCACCATGTAGTCTCGCAGGTAAAGGCATCTTATCTAAGAATACGGCTTGGATATGAGTTTGTTTCTCCAGGTACAAAGCTTTGTAGATTCGATGGTATCCATCTAAAATAAATATAGGGTTAGTGGGGGTAGAAATTACAATGATCGGATAGTTTAGATCGGCTCGGCGTGCGCGTATAAAATCTGTCAACTCAAAACCATTATGGTAACTTCCAACCTGATCCATTAATTCTTCCAAGGGGATGGTTTTTACTTCAAGTCCATTGCTGGCATTCCATAGATCAGTGACGAACCAGTATGCAGATGAACCCTCATGTTCCCATCCACTGAAACGTTGTTCCTCGGCGATTTCTTCATCGGTAGGTAGACTTACCGCTTCCATGTCTGGGTAAAGATAAAGATGTTCATAAAGGGGATTTGAAGGATCAAATTTCTTGATCATTTCTTTTGGAAATTGTGAATAAAGTAAATCCATATCTGGACGATTTGTGTGACGAGTCATGGTATTTTTCCTAATAAAACATTGAAGTTTGTAGAGCTATTACGTAATGATAATATGTATATGAATAATTTTAGGACATCCCATGACCACCACATTTAAAGCTTTGTTTGACGAAGAATGTAAAGATACAAAATTCGATGAGCATTTGGCAAAAAAGATTAAAACATATCTTGGGGATCTAATGAACCGCAATGATGCGCACATCATGTTTTTTGGTTCTAACTTGACAGGTCCTTATCCACTTCGTTTTAAGACGTCTGATAGCAATGAATGGTTTATTGATATCATGGATATTGATGAACGTGTCATCGAAAAAAGAATCATGAAAGAGACAGGGATTAATGCAGACTGGGTACGTGCAACCGATCCGTTTAACATGGATTGTTTCTACACCATGCATCGTTACATGAATTCCAATCTTCCAGAAAGAATCAAACATGAAACCATTGTCAATGTAGCGATGATTCTTAACATTAAACTGTTAGGTTCAATCATGGCAAGGTTCTTTAAATACAATGTCGATGAACGTGCAGCGCAAGAAGTCTATGCACGTCTATCACGTAAGTTCTACATCAAACGCTTTGGCAATTGGCGTAAGGTACTTGAACATCGCAGTGAAGACATGGCAAGTAAAAATAGCAAGTGGTTTCCTATCTTAAAAGAGTTTACAGATGCAGCGGAATTGGCTCAATGTATCTCTGATGTACAAGGTAGACTCCGTTCGATGATCAAGTACATCTGGTCAGTCTTTGAGAAAGTTCAAGCAGATCAGAAGAAGTTCAACCATACT